GGGATCTCCACCGACCTGTGGCGCAGCGAGAGCCAGAACCGCACCTACGTGACGCTGGCCGCCCACTTCCTCGGCGGCGGCGGCGGCGGCGCCCCCCACGGCCTGTCCGTGGGCTCCCGCTGCCTGAAGACCTTCGAGGTGCCCGAGGACAACGCGGCGGAGACCATCACCCGCGTCCTGTACGAGACCTTCATCGAGTGGGGCGTCAGCTCCAAGGTGTTCGGGGCCACCACGGACGGCGGGAAGGACGTGGCCAAGGCCTGCTCGCTGCTGGACATCGCGGTGCAGATGCCCTGCCTCGGGCACACGTTCGACGCCGGCATCCAGCAGGCCTTCCAGCTGCCCAAGCTGGGCGCGCTGCTGGCGCGCTGCCGCCGGCTGGTGGAGTACTTCCAGCAGTCCACTGTGGCCATGTACATGCTCTACCAGAAGCAGACGCAGCAGCGCGCCGCGCCCTGCATGCTGGTCAGCAACCGCGTGCCCGGCTGGGGCAGCACGCTGGCCATGCTGCAGCGCCTCAAGGAGCAGCAGTTCGCCGTGGCCGGCGTCCTGCTGGAGGACAGCAACAACCACCACCTGATGCTGGAGGCCGCCGAGTGGGCCACCATCGAGGGGCTGGTGGACCTCCTGCAGCCGTTCCAGCAGGTGGCCGAGATGCTCTCGGCCTCCAGGTACCCCAGTATCAGCATGGTGAAGCCCCTCCTGCACATGCTGCTCAACACCACGCTGAACGTCAAGGAGACCGACTCCAAGGAGATCAGCATGGCCAAGGAGGTGATCGCCAAGGAGCTGGCCAGGACCTACCAGGAGGCGCCCGAGATCGACATGTTCCTCAACGTGGCCACCTTCCTGGACCCGCGCTACAAGAGGCTGCCCTTCCTGTCCGCCTTCGAGCGCCAGCAGGTGGAGAACCGGGTGGTGGAGGAGGCCAAGGGGGCTCCTGGAGAAGCTGAAGGAGGGCGCCTGCCGGCCCGCTGAGGACAAGGTGTACACCGTGCCCGACGAGCCGCCGGCCAAGAAGCGGGCGCTGTCGCCCACGCCGGCGCCCGCCAGCGTCATTAACAACATGTTGGCGGAGATCTTCTGCCCGACGGGGGGCGTGGAGGACCAGGAGGAGTGGCACGCGCAGGTGGTGGAGGAGCTGAGCAACTTCAAGTCCCAGAAGGTGCTGGGCCTCGGCGAGGACCCGCTCAAGTGGTGGTCGGACCGCCTGGCCCTGTTCCCCGTGCTCCCCAAGGTGCTGCAGAGGTACTGGTGCGTGGCGGCCACGCGCGTCTGCCCCGAGCGCCTCTTCGGCTCGGCGGCCAACGTGGTCCTCGCCAAGCGCAACCGCCTGGCCCCCGCGCACGTGGACGAGCAGGTCTTCCTGTACGAGAACGCGCGCGCCGGCGCCGGCGCCGAGCTGGAGGACGAGGACGAGGGCGAGTGGGGCCTGGACCACGAGCAGGGCTGCGCGCTGGGGGACGCGGGCCACGCCGGCTACCTGGGCGTCCGGGACGGCGGCTTCGTGTAGCCGGCGCGCCGGGGGCGGGGGTGGTGCGGGGGCCCTGGCCGGGGCTCTGTTGTCCGCCGCGACCCGGAACACGGAGCAAGAGAGACCCGGCTTTGCGGTGGGGACATGGGGCGTGCTTCCTCGCGGGGGCGGGGCTCGCCTCCCTGCCAAAGGGAAAGGCGTGACTTGGAGAAGCTGTAAATGTTGGCTCGTAGGATTCCAGACGCCTAAGTCCACGTCGGATGCTTTATTTCTACATCATCCCCTTATCCCAGCATTCGCTTTCTCCGCCAGGGAGGGTTTGGGTTTAAATCGGAGAAAAACATGGAAACTTCTGCAGTTGAGAGCAGCCTCCTTCTGTCTCCTGCACACAAGCCGTCTCGCTGGATTTGAGCGACCTGTGGGTACCGGTGCGCACGGGGAGACACTGTACCCTGTTTGGAAGAGAGACTGGTTTTACGTTGGGTGGGAGGTGTTAAAATGGAGGGTGCAATGCAACCGCTTATAAAAAAGCAGAAAAGAGGTGTGGGGTGTGTTGAATTTTCCGCCGTTAATGAGTCTTTTTTTTTTTTT